CTACTGATGTGTTTCTTGATTTTTCCAAACCACGCACCCAACACAGAAGACCACACTGTGAGTACAAGCTTACCATCTATTTCCTCTTAAGAGGCATTATTTTGATGTGCTGACAGAGGCTACTAACCAACAGTAACCAGTTGTACAGTATCATTTTCCACTAATACACAATTGTACATATTTATGAGGTACCACATGATATTTTGATACATGTATGTTTTGTAATGTTCCAATCAGTGTAAACATTTCTATCACTTCAAACACTTTTGATTTACTTAAGAGAAAACATTTAAAATCCTTTCTTCTGTCTTTAAAACAATATAAGGAAGTGATTTCCATTCCTATTCTTTTTATATTATTCTCTTATTTTATATTCTTCTATTATGAAGAAGAAAGCTTCTGTTTAGCATTAGTGTGTCTTTAACACTGTTCTACTGCTTCTGAATCATCCCTTTTTCCCCAAGAAACCTTTTATTTAAGGTACACAAACTTCATGCATTTCATAAAGACAACTTTAGGAACATAGTGATTCTTCCCACCGTAACCACACTCCCACCCTTATCTATAGTCACCCTATTGAACAATAAAATCATTCCTAATACTTGCAAGAGAAAATTATTAAAAATTTTTAAAGTTAAAATTAAGTAATGCATCAAGACAATTTCAAGGGAAAGGGGTGTACCACTGATTTTCTTGGGGAAATATTGACTTTAAAATTGTTCAAAGACATATTTTATTATTTTTATCATTAATAAAGTTTTTGTGTTGCAAAAATTTAAGGTTCCACTTTATCAGTATGCACTCACATATTTAGTCTTATAAAATGTTGCCTTGCCAAACAAAAATTTACTGATAATGACACTACTGATACTATGTATCTCGTCTAAACTATAGAATCCTACAAGCTACTTAACTACAAGATGTGCGGTGTCTCATCACATCTCTTGATGCTGAATTCTTTACAAAAGGATTTTTCCACTGAACATAGCATTTAACACAAAGTCATCCCAATGACTTAGACACACTTGATTTCCATCAGCTGCTACTCTCCATGGGCAACCATCATGACTAGGTGTGACATTACCTTGAGTAAGCAGCCCCATTCAGCCTTCTACTCCTCGCATTGTCCTGTCACTCTCCCATCCGACTCCGTGCTCACCTTCTCCATCTAGGGAGCAAGAGGTCAATCCCTAGCACTTCTGTGTCTGAGATGCTTTCCTTTTCAAGTTCAGATCTAAATTTAGATGTCACCTCCTCAAAGCTGCCTTTCTTTATGGCCCAGTCAAATTAGGTCTCTGCAGGTGAACAGCATCCTGAGTGCAGATATTGCTCAGAAACACCTAGACCATGGCTCTGTTTTGTCCTCCCATGCAGACATAGTCTCCCTGATGTTCAGTTGATTCCAGGTTTTTCAGTATTTCCTGAAAGGAAGAGAAGGCTGAGGCAGGTTCGACAGAAGGGCAATGTATGCCCTGAGCAGCAAAGGACAGTTCTTTATGACATAAGAACTTCCTTGCACACATAGGGTCACAAGAAGGTGTGGTTGGTACAAGAGAACCAGAAAGTCAGAGCAAATCCAGGCACGGATGTGCAGAGGCTGCTCTAGCTCAACGGAGCACCTCACTACTGTTAAGATTCTGTGTCCTTCATTAAAAATAAATGGGGACACTATAGTGTGACTTCTGCCTGCTAAACTGTGATTTAGCTGAAGTGCTGCTGTCTCCCTTGTTATTCTCACTCACGACAGCCCGTATTTCCTTCAGAGCACTCTGCCCACAATTTTGAGTTTTATCCATATACCTCACATATGCCATGTTACAGGAAGGGTCTTCAAAACATTCATGGAAAATATATATATGAAAAATGCACTGACTTCAAAATATTTTTGCACCTAAATAAACTTATCTTCTCATTCCATTTTTTCATGAGCTTTTTTAAGTACTCTTGTACAATCATCCACTGAAAATATATAAAACTATACATCTGATCAATGTCTTATTTTCTGAATCTACTCCTGAGAGAATTTTTTAACCTTTATCAAGATAAAGAGAACAAATTTCATGTATTTCATAGATATAATGCTAAGAAGATAACCATAGGTCAGGCTCTGTGACTTTTTTCTCACCATTGAACCACCAGCACAGCATGATTCCTGACACACAGGAGATATGAACTAAATAATTTTTAACACATCAGTATTGAAACAGATGGTAAAGACTGTTCTGTTGCTCAGCGATGGTACCAGGCCCCTCACTCTCATTTTCCCCAAGTCCAAGGCAGTCTGAGACTTCATCACCTGGAAGATTCAATCAGTGTCTCCTGCCTGTCTGATTCTGTACAATGCCCATGGGGCTTTGGTGTCAGAGATGGAGCAGGGGTAGAGGCGGGGTGCTGGGCAGCAAGGGGCCTCGCTGGCTCATCACTGCTTTAGAGATGGTCCTTGCTGAACTAGTACCTAAAATTTTCTGATTGTTTCCACAGTGTCTTTTCCTATATTGGGTCTTCAAGACTCACATACACTTATACATACTAACAGGTATGTATCACAAAATTATATGTTATGCATTTTCAAGTTACCCTATCAAAATCCAAGTTTTGAAACTTTTATGGCTACTTTTTAGTGAATATCCCTCTTTTATTTTTATTTGTTTTGTTAAGATTTATTTATTTGAAAGTCAGAGTTATAGGAATAGAGGAAGAGACAAAGAGATCTTCCATCTTGGTTTACTCCCCAGGTGGTTGAAATGGCCAGGGCTGAGCCAAGCAAAACCCATAAGCCAGGAGCTTCATCTGGGTCCCCCATGTGGGTGGAAGAGGCCTAAGTATTTGGGTCATCTTTTGCTGCTTTTCCCAGGCTATCAGCAGGGAGTTGGATCAGAAGTAGAGCAGCGAGGACTTGAACCAGAACCTCTATGGGATGCCAGAGTCACAGGTGGAGGCTTCACCCACTACACCACAACTCCAGTCCCAAATAACCTGCTTTTAAATAAACAATTACAATTTAGGCATTTACTAACCATTTTGTATTCATTCACCACTTGTTCACATTTTCTTCATTTGTTCTTCAAAATAAAATGATTGCTTTATCACAATCCAATACATTAACCCACACTAAAAGAAGTTGCTCAGATGAAACAGTGTCCTGGAGATGGGGAGGAGTCACTGGAGCCACTGGGCTTAGCTCTCATTATAACAGCAGAAAATAATGATGTTGCTCACAGGGCAAAGCCTAGTGCAAGGGACCCACACCTGTCTCCTGGTAGTCCCTCCCTGACTGAATCCTTTTATCACAGAAAAACATGCAGTTATACAGATCCAGGTCTTAACCAATGTCTATGAAATGCAAATTTTAACTCAATACCTGACCAAGTTCAAGTTGATAAGCCATAGATGAAGCAGTTTATAATTTATAATCTGAATTTAAAATAAAAAATGCACAAAAAGTCCCTTAGAGCATATTCTTCTTAGTTAATAAAAAATAAATGAAATCCCCTATTTTTTTCTTCTAATCATATTTTGTTCCAGGTCAACCGAACCTTTATCATATTGTCACACTTATTTTTATTTTTATTTTTCTGTTATTGACTAAACATTGTCCACAAAGATGCTTTACAGTCATACAGCATTTTCACTGTTTATAAGTTATATTTTTCACTTATTGGCATATGTTTGCCATTTCCTTATTATAAAAATCTTCAATGGATTTATTTATTTATTTGAAAGACAGTGAGAGAAGGAGAGGCAGAGAGAGAGAAAGTCTTCTATCTGCTGGTTCACTCCCCAGTTGGCCACAACAGCCGGAGCTGCACCAATCCAAAGCCAAGAGCCAGGAGCTTCTTCCATATCTCCCAAGTGGGTGCAGGGGCCCAAGGACTTGGGCCATCTTCTACTGCGTTCCAGGCCATTGCAGAGAGCTGGATCGAAGTGGAGCAGCCGTAACTCAAACTGGCACCCATATGGAATACTGGCACTGAAGGTGGCAGCTTTACCCAATATGCTTCAGTGCCAGCCCCCTCAATACTGTTTTTGATGGCTGCCTAATATGTCCTAATTTTCTTAAACATAGACTTACTATTGAACATGTAGGACATTTCCATTATTTTCTTTTACTAAATGTAATTTCACATATAACTTGTTTTTAGCCTTTTAAAATGTTTCTGTTGAGTGTTGTTTTTTTAACCGCTAGACCTCAGAGGATCTACCCATGAAGGAAGATTTATTTTGGTTCATTGTTTTTGGAAGTTCACAGGCCAGCATCAGGTAGGCACCACTGGTTTGTCCCATCTGGCAAAGATGGCAGTTGGCACTGGTAGAGTGAATGGAGAAACAATTATGTGGTGAGCTAAAGCAGGGAGTGGCTATGTCCCATCTGGCTTTCATAATCAGCCCTCTTGTTGAGAATGAACTTCTAAGCACATGCATTCAACATCATAAATGGATCAAGTCCCTACTTTCCCAGTACCACTAAACCATGACCCTGGGTGTTAAAGTCCCACATGAGTTTAAGAGCCAAATAACTTCCAAACTACAACACTTGGTATTGAGAAAATAAGGCCCAAAGCATGTAAACATATTTAAGGCTCTTTGTTTCATTTAATTTTTTTAAGATGTATTTTTTTTTTAAATGTCAGAGTTAGAGAGAGAGAGCAAGCAAGCTTCCATCTGCTGGTTCATTTCCCAGATGACAACAACAGCTGGGGCTTGGGCCAGACTGAAGTCAGGAGCCAGACTGAAGTCAGGAGCCAGGTGGGTTGCAGGGTCCCAAGTACTTGGGCCATCTTTCATTGCTTTTCCCAGGCTATTAGCAGGGAGCTGGATTGGAAGTGGAGCAGCCAAGATATGAGCTGGAGTCCATATGCGATGCTGCGTTGCAGGCAGCAGCTTTACCGGCTATGTCACAACACTGGTCCCCTTTAACACTATTTTACAAAAGGATTAGGTCAAGGTACATTGCTCTAGCGATTTCTAAGTATATCAGCTACATAGATACCACACTATGATTCACTTTCAGGTTTAATTTTTTTATTATATAAGTCAGTGTCTCATTATCAACTATAAATGGGATTGAACATTATTCTATAGGTTTATGTGATTGTCCACCTATATTTTTAATTAATTCTTCTATTTCCTTCTATTTTAGAAGTCATTTGAATTTTCTGCTTGAAGTTCTAACAATAAATCTCTCAATTTTATCTAAATACGAAAGGCAATGGGAGCAAAATTAGCACAAACTTGTTTTTTTGAACTATGAACCAGAACCCTGTTAACAGAAGGTTAATCCCTTCAAGGAAAATGCTCTCTGCTCAACCTAGTCATTATTTAGAGTTGAAGTAAGAAGAAAATACATTATTGTAGATTGGAGGGCCACACTTCATTAGGAAGTTGTAAATTTTACTTCCTTTTTTAAGATTTATGTTATTTATTTGAAAGACAGAGTGATGGGGTGGGGGAGGAGATGGAGAGAGAAAAACATCTTCCATCTATTAGTCATTCACTCCCCAAATGGCCTAGTCCTGGACTAGGCCAGAAGAAAGACAGGAGCCAGAACTCTATCCAGGTCTCTCCCATAGGTGGGAGGGGCCCAAATACTAGGGCCACTTCTACTACTTCTCCAGACACATTAGCAGGGAGCTGGACTGGAAGAGGAGCAGCCAAGAACCCTATGTGGCACTCTAATATGGAGTTCTAGCATCTCAAGTGGTAGCTTAATTCCCTGTCCTAGTGCACTAGTCTCCACATTTTATTTCAAATCACTAAATTGATCAAAATGAAGAAACAGGTAAAATGCAATTAAGCATCCAACTAATGAGTGGAGAAAAGCTATGTAGCTCACTAACTGCACAAGTAACATGATGTCTACACCATCCACACTCATAGAGTAATGAAGGTTACAATAATTTGGATCTGGTAACTTCTGAAGTATTGGGTGTGGGACATCCCTTGTGTTACTTGACATCACAGAGAAGGGCGACCCCACGGAGCACCCAGTGTTCAGGGGCCTGAGCCGTCCTGAGGTCCACAGCGGCAATGTAGTTCAAGTCCGTTCGAACTGGCTTCTTGTAGATGGGGCAGGAGTAAAACCGAGGATCTCTTAAAGCTGTAACAAATTGCAAAAAGAAAGGAAGCTCATGAATTTGTAATTTAATTCTCCCCAAAAAGATGCAGAGTCAAGCTTGTGCATTCTGAAGATCATTCCAAAAGTAGACAGATTGCTAGTGAGGGAAATTGTACTTGGGGGGTCAAGCAATCCCTAGATTGCAGCAGACACTATCACCAGTGTCCAGTAAGTGTGGCAAGACTCCCAGACAGCCTCAGGTTTACCCTGCTGATCTCTTTTCCTTGTGCCCTTGAAAGTGACCCCTGCCCATATGTTTCCACCATGTCCTTTCCACCTAGCAATTCAACATTTTCCCGTACCCAATTCCTCTTTACTTCCCCACCAAATCTTGCACACACATTCCTCTCTTTTTCCCTTATGCTCTGTCCTCGGCACCCAAGGCCTGTTCCATTTAATCAGACATCTGTAACCATTGAGCATCATTTCATTTTTAGTAGTATTTCAAAATTCCATTTTTAGCACTCTGTGCTATATACACCATGTCACATTTTAAATCACAAAATAGATGGTGCCCTATCAAAACAGGTGCTATGGATTCTCTTTGTATACAAAGAAATAAAAATGGCTGGGAAGCAGACAAAAATGGCAGCTCCCTGAGATTCAATTCTCTTGTTTGCAGTGGAGGAATAGATGTCCATGACCGTATTTATGTGCAAGCAAAGATGATCTATGTGTGTCCATCTTTCAAAGGTCTCTCCTAGGGGATGGTGCTGTGGTGTAGCACGTGAAGCTGCCATCTGTGATGCCAGCATCCTATATGGACGTTGGTTCAAGACCCAGCTGCTCTACTTCCAATCCACCTCCCTGCGCCTAGGAAAGCAGCAGAGGATAGCCCAAAGTGCTTGGGCCCCTGCCCCACATGGGAGACCCAAAGGAAGCTCATGGCTCCTGGCTTTGGCCCAGCCCGGCCCTGGCCTTTGCAGCCATTTGGGGAGAGAACCAGAGGATGCAAGATCTCTTCCGCTCCCCCACATTTGTAATTTTCAAACAAAAGAAAAAAAGAAAGAAATCTTAAAAATAAAGATCTCTCTCTATTTTTATTTTTATGTTTATCTTTATGTTTATTCCATCATAAACACAGAGTGATTCTCTCCTGCTCAGTGATAGACTCAGGTTGTTGGGCCTTAAGCCTACACAATTCATGGGAGCACTTTTCAAGAAAAAGAGTAAAAATTTACAAACACAAAATTAGACTTCAGAAGGAGTCTCTAAATGAGCAGCCTGAGAGTTTAAGCTTCAACAGCTTTTTATGAAATTAGGGATGCCCACAGCACATCTCTTAACATCCTTCTCAAGAAGTATAATATTACTTCTTAACATTTATTCATTGAGAGGCAGAGAGACAAAGAGAGAGTATACACACTAACATCAGCTGGTTCACTCCCCAAATGTCCACAAACAGCAATCTGGGCTGAGCCAAAGCTGGGAGCTGAGAATTCAATCCAGGTCTCCCGTCCGAATGGCAAAATCCAGTAACTGGAGCCATCACCACTGCTTCCCAGGGTCCTTGTTATTTTATACTCTCTTCAATACTATAAATTTTGAGTGGACAAATTTGTGTCTGTACCCATTACTATGCCCCTCTGACAGTCCAATACAATATTATAAATGATTCTCATGGAACTATTAAGGTGAAATCACATCTAACGAAAGAGAATAGCTTTGTGTTTGTGAATTAGTGTTACAAACACTGAAACAAAGAAACAGTAAATATATCACAGTAACTGAATTTATTTCCCACAACTAACTTGCTTAATAATTTAGCTTCTTTCAACAGATTACGAAGACAAGGCACTATCAGAAGTTAAAGTCTCATTATCTGACCCAACAGAACCTTCAACTGGCCAAGCCATATTTTTATGTATTCACTATAAATTTATTTGGCAGATATTAAACATTTGAAGATACTACTCATAATGGCAAGTAAAAAATTAATATTATAAAGCAGTTATTCTTGACCAGGGGTGATTCTACTCTTGAGGACATTTGGGTAATAACTTTGTGTTTGCTACTGGCATCTCGTGGGTAGAAGTCAGGGAAGCCACTGACAGTTACGATACCTGGGACAGAGCCCCCACCTACCCACACACACCCACAATTATCCAGACCAAAAGTGCCAATAGAACCATGATGGAGAACCCCTATTCTAAAATAACAACCAAGCACAGATATTTTAGAATATTTTTAAGTCTGTTTGCTAAATCCCATGGAATTAATCATTAGAAACAACCCAAAATAACATAACACCTAATTTTTAAGGTTGGATATAAGTTTTTCAATTATCATGATGATATCACTAGTAATAATGATGTAAGTATATATATGAAAAATGTGATCAAATAAATAAATGACAGTGAATTATAGAAGAAAGTACTAGCTATATAAAATAATATATTTAAATCCTTTAATCTGAGGATCTATAAACATGTAACAAATATACAACCAATAATACTTCTTGATGCAAATTTGATTAACAACCATTATATAAACCTTGAAGGAAGCCACTGGAGTCTTACATTTGACTCTAATTACAATTATAATAATTACACCTTAAGAAGTATTTGACTACTTGGATCTTAATCCCAAAATAAAAGTGAAATTGCAAAGAAAATAGCATTTTTTGAATAAGAAGGTAAAAAATAATTCCCTGAAATATTTATCCAATTTTATGTATTTTTAATTGCTTCAGAACTGAGGTACCCCTGCCAAGTCACAGCGTGCAGCAAATTTCTGCATCAGGATTAGAAGCCACTGAAAATATAATTTCATAGTGAAAGTGCTGACAGATGCTAAACAACTACAGAAACAGATGAGTGGAAACCATTCTCCTGCTTAGAGAATAACTGAAATCCAAAATAAGTCTGCCAGGTAGCTAGAACAAATTGGCTGCATATGTTGAAAGTCCTACGGTTCCAGGAGGAGGATCAGAGAGAAGTGGATCCTTAAGGTTTTAATAAAACACCTTGGGTGAAATATCATTGTGTAAGCACAGAACTTCTCTATTTATCCACTATTTTTCATCCAAACATTAGTACACATTAGATATGTAGACCTTCTAAAATTCAACATAACTGTGTCATGTGGGGAGTAGCTGGACAACGCTAAATCATTGCTCTACCTAACCTCCCTGTTGTTAACCACATCTACATCCTCCTAGTACTGCTTTTAATCCTTTAAAACTTGCATGCACGAAACATGGTAATAATAAATTACTTATTATGTGCTGGACGTGTCAGTGGAGGTCAGTCAACAACCTCATGCAATGGGGATTATTATTAGATCGTTGCAGATGATTAGAAAACTGGGACATGAGGAGGTGTGTTACTTGTCCCAGATTATAAATCTATGGAGATAAGCTAAAGGTCAGAATGAAGTCATGGCCGGTGCTCCTGCCTTGTGTAACACCGGGATGACCCATGCAGGCACAAGCCTGCTTCACCAGGCACCTGAGAAACACAAACCAATGAACTCATGCAAGGGAGCAGCCCTTATTTTGAGTTCAGTCTTTATTTTCCAGTTTCATCCAGGCACCAGAAGGACTCCCAAACACAGAATCTAACCACAGGAATCCCCAGAGGTCGGCACTCACCCCACAACAGACCAATGTGATTCTGACACCAGCTTCACCACTTAGTAGCCAGGAATCATGGGCAAATCACTTACTGTCTCTAAATCTTAACTTCTCCATGGACAAAACAGAGATGATAAATGCTACAGAGCTGTAAAGATTCATTACGTTAATATGCAGGAGTTTCTGACTCAGTGTAAAGACTGGAATGCAGTAGATGCCTGAGATACATTATCTGCTATTTTGTCATGCCCCACACTCACACATGCACATACATTTATACACTTAAATTTTCACTAAATTCCCAGATGCATGTTCCCCATGATCTTGACAGAGTTCCAGGTACCAAGTGGAAGTGAATTCACTGCTGCGGGGCGCAGGAGTGAGAGAGTGGCCTCCTGGTCACTGCTGGTGGCTCTCCCTACCCCAGTCCACATCTGCACAATCTCAGATCAGAGAGGGACACAGGGCATTGGGCATTCTTAGATACATGTTTTCCCTAGCAGGAAATAATCCCCTGTGCTTCAGAGACCCTAACACACCACCCACACACACACCTTACTTAGGAACCAGAGGTACACATACTTCTTGTCCACCTAAGTGTCCTAATTTCTGTTTTCCACCACATCTGCCACAGCACCAGCATTTATTCAGAAGCATCTCTGTCCATGTGATGCAAAAATCCATCTTTTCTGAATCTGCCTCTTTTAAGCTTCCTTTGAAAAGAAAGGATCTGGAGTTTGTGTGTGGCTTTATTCTCTTGAGGAAAACAGAGCTACATGGGCAACTTTTCCACGATGTCCTACATGAATTTTATTTTGGGGTATATTACTCAGATTATAGAGTTAAGAAAAGTGTCTGGACCTCTCCTTTCTGAAAATAAACCAACCAGTTCTATATAAAATTTCAACAGTAAATTATTTAAGAAGTGGATACAACTGGAGATAATTATGCTTAATGAAAAAAGTCCCAAAAAGACAAACATTATAAGTTTTCTGATACGTGGTAGTTAATATAGAATACGATACGAAAAAGTATAAGAATGGGGGCCAGCACTGTGGCGTAGCAGGTAAAGCTTCCGCCTGCACTGCCAGCATCCCATATGAGCACCAGTTCAGGTCCCGGCTGCTCCACTTCCAATCCAGCTCTTTGCTATGGGCTGGGAAAGCAGTAGAAGATGGCCCAAGTCCTTGGGCCCCTGTACCTGTGTGGGAGACCCCAAAGAAGCTCTTGGTTCCTGGATTCGGATAGGCACAGCTCTGGCCATTGCGGCCATCTGGGGAATGAACCAGCGGAGGGAAGATCTCTCTCTGCCTCTCCTTCTCTCTCTGTGTACTTCTTTCAAATAAATAAACAAATCTTTAAAAAAAGAAAAGTATAAGAATGAAACTGACATCTTATGATTTGATTA